TGAAAACATAAATAGCATACTCTACAATGTAATACTAAAATTTTGATACTCTGTTCTGTAGCATAGAGAAAATATTGTGAAATTTTATTCTTCCATTTTCACTATTGGAGGCACAAATGAAGATGGGTTTATTTTTACTGAATGTGAAAATGATCATCATCAATATAGTTGCAACATTCTCTCTCTGCTCATTCTGTACTCATCATTTTTCAGTTCCAAATGTCATTTGCATGGTCCTGATGACATTGAGTATGGATATTGCAGAGGAGTGATAGCTTCCCTTTCCTATTGAAGCTGAAGCTTCAAAGAGAAGATTAAAGAAGTGTTTGTTATCTATCTGCACAGGCCTGATATGAAATTCTCAGAGGCTTTTAGGATAAACACAACTCTGTATGTGTGCATTTATGTACTTTTTCTTCTGTATACTTCTATTGTGGTCTTTGTATTTTGGTTTAAAATTTCTAATTTCAGACTTGTTGGATTCTCTGGCTAAAGGAGAATTGTTTTCAGAAAAACAGTATGAATTGGAAGATGTTGGAAGGATATTACTAAATCCCTCCTGAAGAGTATAGAATTCTCTATTGTGGAATTATATTTCTAGAGAACATGAAGAAGGCCACCCATGGAGTATCTTTAACAAGACAAGACCAAGATCTTAAAGGTGTCCAGCAGAGACTAATCTGTTGTGCCCTCCAGTGAGGGATGCAATTGCTCACCTTTTGGGATTTCCTTTTAGAAGTGTTCTTTGTGAGCTTTGGAATAGAGGTGTGGCTTTTTTAAAAAACAAACTCCCTGTAGGGTTAATCCATAAATAATATTTAGAGAAAGAATAGAGGGAGAAAAGTTAGGATAGCAAGATACCTTCTGAAAAAGAAGGGAACTAACATTCCACTTCATACTATTCCACATCAAGTTCTACATATAATTTTTATTGTCAGAATTTTCTTTTTTTTTCTTTCTTTTTTTTTTTTTTTTTTTGACAGGATCTCGTTCTGTTACCCAAGGTGGAGTCCAGTGGCATGATCACAGCCAACTACAACCTCAACCTCCCAGGTTCAAGCGATCCTCCGACCTCAGCCTCCCCAGTAGCTAGGACTAGCATGTGCCACCACGCCCAGCTAATTTTTGTACCTTTTGTAGAGATGGGATTTCTCCATGTTTCTCAAGCTCATCTTGAACTCCTGGGCTCGAGCAATCCTCCTGTCTTGGCCTCCCAAAGTGCTGGGATTACAGGTGTGAGCCACCACACCCAACCTCAGATTTTTTTAAATTGACAAATGCAGTGGAATATATTTAAAATGCACAGTATGATTATATATATATACACACACACACAGTGAAATGATTACCTTAGTCATATTAATTAATACATTCATCACCTTACATGGCTTACATGGTTACCTTTTTTTTTGGTGAAAATGCTTAAAATCTATTCTCTTACCAAATTTCAAGTATGTAACACAGTATTATTAACTATAGTCATCATGCTGTACATTAGATCCTTAGAACTTATTCATCTTATGATCGAAAGTTTGACAGAAATATTTAATTACAGTATTACCAGGAATAAAGCAGGTTCTGCTATTTAACATCAACTAGATGAACCTACTACTTTATTTGATACTGTTGAGTTCTTAGATATAACTACTATTGGCAGAAGCAATACTCTTAGTATATATGACTTATAAGATCATATTTCTTCTCGACTAACAAGAGAAACCAGGAAGCCAGGGCACTGTAAAGTAGGTAGAGAAAAGGACTGAAAATGTGTATTAGTTGGAGTGGGCATCATGGGACAGGGAGGCAGAGAAGAGGCTGAGATCATCAATAACATACTATGCCTATTTAACAATTTACCTAGAGCACCTTTAACTGGCACTGCATGCCTAGTGTTTTTTCTGGGCCAATAAATGAGAACAACATTGGTTAGCACAGTTCCTGCTGTTGCCATCATCAATATTTTGGAAAGAAGAGAGAGAGAGTGTATGTACATACACATGTGCACATATATGTATGCACATACTCGAACCCTAATTTCTATTTATATTAAATTAGAAGTTGGGTAATGATAGGAATTGGGGGTTAGGGAAGTGCCTCAAGAGAAGAAGGAAAGTAGCAAGAGCAGATAGAAAATTGCTCAGCCATTTGATGATTTGCTTGATTAGCTATGTTTTACAGAAAGGAGTTTTATGGAAAACTCTTCATGGTGGCCAGGTACGGTGGAAAGCTGCACTGTCTGCTAGGTGGAGATTAACCCATCATACTATTATTCACAATGTATTTAAGTTTCATCCAGTTTCAGCTTACATATGCCCCTGCATTGATATGGATGCTCCTTCTTCCCAGCTTTTGAAGCTTTCCACTTCCCACCCCGTCCTCTGCCCCTTCCTCTCCCCTTTGCTACTGCAGATGTCAAAGCTGTCCTGGAATTTCCTCACCCTCTAACCTAAGTATCTTACATTTTTCTTCACCTGATTGCCAGCGCAGAACTGTTCTGGAAAAGGAAAGGAACAAGGAAGGACAAATTGTCATGTTTCTTCTCCACTTTCTTATGTCAGATAATGTTCCCCAAATTCAACTGTGAATTATGGCAACATACTTACTCTCCACTGACCTCTTCTGTCTTCATTTTCTGAAAATTTATCACACAGTAAAGAAATAACCAATATACTCACTGGGCTGATACTCTGCCCTGAAGAAGCCAAGCCTAATTTTAGTAATGTATGTACTAGAAGACACACCATTATCACCTATCTCCTTTTCTGCATCTTTTTTTGTGGTTTGTGGACCTTTTAAACTGCAGATTCCAACCTACCTTATTTTTTTGTTGTTGTTCTGTTTTGTTTTGTTTTTGGCTTTTAGCAGGGTGAAGCCATGATTTTTAGTTTCTACCTCTAGTGATAAGTGGAAAAGAGGGATGAGGAAGGGGCTTTACTGACCCATCAGAAACAGAAACTAAGAAACCATGACTGTATTCTCTCTCTTGGGCACCACTGCAAAAGAATTCTATAAAAAACTGTGGACTCCCTCCCTAGGTTAAAAAAAAAAAAAAAAAAAAAAAGCTCCGACGCACATATACACTCCTGAGAGGTCAAAATGAGGATAGAAAAGCATCCCTTATATTTGGTGGCATGAAGGTTATTGTGTCTGTAGCAACAGTTAATGTGCAATGGCTCTGAGCCTGACTGGAGGATGTTGAGTAAGTGGTCAGTGAGGGACTAAAATGAGCCAAGTGTAGACAGTGCTTTTGAAAATGTCACTGTGACATGAAGGGAAACAGGACAGCAGGTGGAGGGATGTGAAGGGGTGAGGGAGGATTTGCTTTATTTTTATATGAGCATAAACGCTGATGGAAAGGGCCAAACTGGAGGAAGAGGTTGAATACAGACAAGAGAAAAATCAATAAAGAATAACGTAAAGTTCCTGTGAAGGTAGGAGGAAATGGGATCCAAAATACAGTAGACTTTCTTGGGTAATCATCATATATAACATTGTTTTTGTGGGGAAAGAAATGCAATTTAGTTTCCAAATAAGAGACTTACAAATGATCCTTTCCACCATTGCTATTTTGTTAGTTTAAGACTTCAAGAGTTACTGGATGCAGTGGCTCATTCTTGTAATCCCAACACTTTGGGATGCCAAAGTGGGAGGATTGCTTAAGCCCCAGCCTGGGCAACAAAGTGAGACCCCATTGCTACCAAAAAAAAAAAAAGACAGAAAACAGTAATTGCTTTTCACTCTCTCATTGCAACGTCATTGAGAACTAGTAGTAATGTGTGTAAGCATCTAGATGTGGTGGCACGTGCCTGTGGCCCCAGCTACATGGGAGGCTGAGGCAGGAGGATCTCTTGAGCCCAGCAGGTCAAGGCTGCAGTGAGTGATGTTCATGCCACTGCATTCCAGCTTGGGTGATAGAGCAAGACCCAGTCTCAGGAAAAAAAAAAAAAAAAAAGACTTCAAGGGTTGTCAGTTTTGCCAATTATTTCCTAAAATAATAGAGGAGATAGGATGGTACAATGAACTACAAGAGCCCCATTCTTGGCTCAGACACTAAAATGTTAGACAACCTTAAGTCAATTGCGCCAAAATGTTAGACAACCTTAAGTTAATTGTTCATGTTTCACTTGTTGTTTGTTTTATTTTGTTTTTTGAGACGGAGTCTCGCTCTGTCACCTAGGCTGGAGTGCAATGGTACGATTTTGGCTCACTGCAACCTCCGCCTCCTGGGTTCAAGGGATTCTCCTGCCTCAGGCTCCTGAGTAGCTGCGATTACAGGCGCCTGCCACCATGCCCAGCTAATTTGTGTATTTTTAGTAGAGATAGAGTGTCACCATGTTGGTCAGGCTGGTCTCGAACTTCTGACCTCGTGATCCGCCTGCTTTGGCCTCCCAAAGTGCCACCGCATCAGCCACTGCACCCGGCCCATGTTTCACTTGTAAAATTAAGAATTTAGGCTTAAAAGGCAAAGTCCAGGAGTTCGAGGCTGCAGTGAGCTATGATTGTGTCACTGTACTCCAGCCTGGGTAACAGAGAAAAAAAATTAGGCTTACGAGGCATTTGAGGATGTGTTGGTGTTGGTGGTGGGGTTTGACTGTTGTAACAACTGGGAGTGCCTCTGGTATTTGTTACCTAGGACCAGTGATGGTAATGGTCCTGTAATACACGGGCCAGATTGTCACAGCAAAGAACCATCCTGCTGAAAGCCTGTAGAGCTCTTGATGAGAAACCCCAGGCCACCGCTAGGTTCCCTTTTAGGATCTTTCCAGCTCTAAAGTCAAAATTATCTGAGGAATTTCAGTGAATTAAATGCATCTTTTAAGCCATTGAGACTCTTTCAAATGACAGGGACAACCTTTTGTTTTCCTCAAAATTAGTAGTGACTTTGACTGGTTATAGACTTTAGCAAGCTTCCTGGACCAGGTGCTATACTATGGTAGGCCAACCAAAATTGAGAAATACAAGTTTGACTTACTCCCTTATTTTTTCCCCTTGTATTTCAGGTACTATTGGGATTTTCAGCCCCAAGGTGAGTCCTCTTTGACCACGTATGGTTTTATGCTAAAAATGTGTAAATGGGATTGTTTATTTCTGTCTCTTCTCTACAAACTTCTCCACAGAGTGGCATTAGCCATTTCCAAGGAAAGTTAGTGGAGTGTTTAATTAACCTTCACCCTGCTGCGCCCCCCTGCCCTGCTTTTTAGCAACAAAAGGCTCTATGCTTCTTCCTTCTGAGCGGATTGTTGCAAGATTATTTTATAAAACCAAGGCTATAATATGCTTTAATTCCTTGAGCTTTGTTAGGTGCCAACAGGATCCAGTAGCATTCAAATAAAATGGTAGCCGAGTCCATAATAAAAACCTTGGGAGGGTTCCAACTCAGCTAATCCTTCATTTGCTCCAGAAATAAATTCCAGTATGTTACCTCCTCGATCACAGTGCCCTTCCACACAACCTGCCTGTCTGGCAGCAGAGAAATGTCAGAAATGGAGCAGTGTTGAAATTCCCACTAGAACAGTGTTATCACATTTTAATATGAGCCTCGCTGCAGCCTCAGTGCTTCTAATTGCTTTCAAACCTTTGTTTTCCTGCTTTTGCTTGATGAACCCAGCATCTGGCATGATTCTAAAAAGTACTACAGACAGCTGTGTGCAAAATTAAAAAAAAAAAAAAAAAAAAGGCCAGGATGAAAACACATTTTTAAAAGGTTCAGAATTGAAATATTTTTTTCTGAATTCAAACAGTTTGAGGGGATATCTTTTAAAGTATTTGCCTTCCTTCCTTTTAGTACTTGGTTGAGAATGTTGGAAATGTCAACCTGAATATTATCTTAATTTATTGTAAATGGAGGGGCTTTATTTTCTCAGATAATCAGAGTTTTAGATCAAACTTACAAATAGCTTTATGAACTATTTTGCTCTATAACTTTCTTAACCAATTGTAAACTTTTTAAGTACTTTTTATTCTCTTAATGTTGTCACTGTATCCAACCTCAGTGAATAGTAATACCTTAAATAAATTAAAATTGTGAGTGGTTATAATAGTTTTATTAAAATTTTTATTTTTCTGGCTCATACTTTTAGTGTATTTCAAGTTTTTATAAAACTTTCTTTTAAAGCCATCTTTAAGAAATAAAAATCATATATTTTCAAAGTTTCTTGACTCTTGTAAGTTAAAGTGGGAGCACTTACACTATTTTACATAATGTGATGTGCTGTTACTATATATCTCACTGTCCTAAAGCATTGATAGCTGAAAACATAGATTGAGCAGTGGATAATTTTATGTAATAGTGTAGTGGTTTGCTTTGCAAAATGTGAATTGCACTATTCAGGGGATGGCCCTATAGTTCAGGGTTTAACAGATGTTAACCAAAATCCACAGGGGGAAGAATATGATTGTAAACTGGCAGAAATGAATGAAACTGTGAGGGTAGAATTAATTACCTAAAGGAGAAATAAAGAATTAGTGTCAGAGATGTGGTATGGGAATAGGTTGAGAAGAGAAAATAATTTTGGAGCTTAACACAAGAGACTATATGGGACTAAAAAAGACAAAGGGAACATCTTACCAGATTCTTGACATGGTGGCATTGCAGTCATCTTTCAACATAAAGCAGCTTCTACCCATCCTTTCTCTCTTGGAGAGAGGACAGAGGTTGCGCAGCCAAGGAGACAAGTGAAAATTTATTTAGAACAGAAAACTGTATTTGCTTCTTGACAGCAATTAAATGTATGTGGCAAAATCTTAGTGCATTTGGAAGTAAATGTAAGGAAAGATGATATAGAAAAACTCATGCCCTAGCCCCTAGTCTCATGCCTTCTCACATATTTTCAGGGGTGGGGGGCATTAGTGAGAGGTAAAAGTATCTTTTACCTTGCCCTTTTGATCAGACCTTAGCTGATTATGTGCTTCAGAAGCTGGTGGGATGGGTAGGAGCAGTAACTGGTCTAGATAAGGTACAACAGGACAACTTAAGATTATGAAAAGATTAGAAATATGTAAGAAAGAGAACAACTAGCAGAAGAATCTTTAAAGCCCTTGAAAACTGGGTGGTATTGGGATGGGAGTGAGAAAGAACAGAAATTATGGCCCCAAACTTTCTGAGCATTTTTATCTGTGACAGGACCCTCTGTATAAGAAGATGATGGGATGAATTTTATTAACTCTGCATTTGCCTAAATACGCACTTGAGTTCTTCAAGATATTTGAACTAAACCAGGTCTGATGCCTGGAAGGAAAATAGTTTTTCATTATAAAAGATCCATTATTTGTATATCCTTTTAGTAGCACATATTTTAAAAATAGTAGCCTTGGCCGGGTGAGGTGTCTTATGCTTGTAATCCCAGTACTTTGGGAGGCTGAGGCAGGCAGGTGGATCACCTGAGATTAGGAGTTCGAGACCAGCCTGACCAACATGTACTAAATACAAAAAATTAGCTGGGAGTGGTGGTGCATGCCTGTAGTCCCAGCTACTTGGAAGGCTAAGGCAGGAGAATTACTTGAACCTGGGAGGTAGAGGTTGCAGTGAGCCGAGACTGTGCCATTGCACTCAAGCCTTGGCAACATGAGCGAAACTCATGTCTCAAAAAAAAAAAAAAAAAAAAAAAAAAACAACCTTATCAAGATACAATTCACATGCCATAAAATTTACCCTTTTAAAGGGTACAAGTTAGTGGTATAGATATAGTATAGTATAGTATAGTATAGTATAGTATAGTATAGTACAGTACAGTACAGTACAAGTTGTGCAACCATCACCACTATCTAATTTCAGAACGTTTCATCACCCCAATAAGAAACCCTGTATGGATTCTAGAGCCCGTTATCTCCAGAGGTAGAAAGCCCATACTCTTCGTGACTGTTTTTCACTGTCTCATTGCAAGGTTGTTGAGGGTTAGTAGTAATGTGTGTAAGCATCTAGCTTAGTACCTGGACAGAGTTAAAAAAAAAAAAAAAAAGCCAGTAGTTTCTATTTCTCATAATGGTACATTAATGGTAATTCTTTCTCTCACATTTCCACCGAGGTTTTCTTATTGGTCCACTGTCAACTTCCTGAGTGATATTTATTTTAAAAAGGAAACAGGGAAAATAAAACATGATCCAAAGAATATATTACTTTAATGTAGAGGGGATATAAATGGAAGGGCACTTTTAATGAGCTTAAACATAATTGGAGAACATGAAAAAGGCTTTTTGTTTTTACTTGACAATAAGACATAATATTGCTTTGATAATTCATGTCCTGCTTACTCAAAAAATTTTTCTATTTAATTCTGTACTTAAAGTTACAAAGAAAAGCCAGTGGAGTTTTTGCCATGGAATTTTTATAATTTCAGTAATCTGTATCTAAAAGGTGATACCGATAAGGCAATATTAATTTTGCCCTTAGATTTGATGACACTATTACTTAAAGTTATTGAGCAAACTGATTTCCTTCATTTTGCTTCAGTTTCCCCTTTTATAAAATGAGTTAGTGACAATTTTTAATCAAAAATTTGATTATAAGGTATAATGTTTATAATTCAAAATTTATTGCTACAAAAAAAACTTCATGAATATTAGATTGAATTTCCCACCATAGGCCCAGAATCTAAAACAAATGACATAATATTTAAATAAAAATCTAGGGAAGACCATGGGAATATTATATATAATAATATCTCTTTTTTTTTCTGTCCAGTGATCACTCACATTACATTTGTAGTAGTGGTAAACATGGGTCAGTGGAATCTCTTGCCAACTTAAAGATTCTTTGAGTATCTCTATGAGTGGTATAAAGGGTTTCTGAGAAAATTATTCAGTATATTTCAATACAAAAGAATTCTACTTTGTGAAGCTTAAAAATCTCATTTTGAAATGGCAAGCCTATATTAATGTCAAAGTAAATCAATGCCTAATAATATAGCCTGGCAGGCCAGATAACGGTGGCTCATGCCTGTAGTCCCAGCACTTTGGGAGGCTGAGGGCAGGTATATCACTTGAGCCCAGGAGTTTGAGATCAATCTGGGCAACATGGTGAGACCCTGTATCTACAAAAAAACAAAATTAGCTGGGCGTGGTGGCACAGGCCTGTGGTCCTAGCCGCTTGGGAGGCTGAGGTGGGAGGATCACTTGAGCCTGGCAGGTTGAGACTGCAGTGAGCCGAGATCGTACCACTGCACTTCAGCCTAGGAGACAGAGCGAGATCTTGTCTCAAAACACACAAACAAAGAAATAAACAAATAAAAATATAGCCTGGCAAAAACAAATAGTGCTAAGTGAATAAGGAAGTTATAAAGCTATAACTGTAAATTGAGGGATTTAAGACGTTTACCAACGAATGTGTAAACTTTATGTGCATTCTGAGTCAAGCAAACTATTTTAAAAAATGACATCTATGAGAGAATTAGAAATATGAACACTGACTGGTTATTTTACATTATTAGGAAACTACTGATTTTTTTTAGGTGTGGCAGTGGTATTACAGTTAATTTTTTAAAAAAGAGTTCTTTATTTTAGAGGTTAAAAAGAGTTCTTTATTTTAGAGGTTAATTTTTTAAAAAAGAGTTCTTGATTTTAGAGAGAGGTGTGCTATGATATTTAAAGATATAATGTCTGAGAAATAATATGGGAGAGGAGAAAGAAACAGGGTAAGTATAGATGAGACAAGATCGACCATAAATTGACACTTGTTGAAGTTGGATGATGTATATATGGGAGTTTGTTACACTGTTTTGTCTACTTCAATACATGGGTAAACTTCTCCATAATGCAAAGGTAAAAGAAAAAGGTTAAGATTGATTAAAAATGTAACATTATTCTTTTATCTCTGTCATGAGACCTAGTATATTAATGCATACATTGCTTTCTGCATCTGGATATAAAGTACATAGAATAGTGAACTAATTTTTTAAATTGCTGTTCAGGTTAATGTTTTATGATAAAAAGAGCCTAAGCTTTGAAATCAGACCTGAATTAGAATCCCAGCTCCTCTGCTTAGAAACTTTGTTAGCTACTGCAAATTACATAACTTCTTGAAGCTTCAGT